ATATTTCAAGAATATTTGCGATAACGATATTTATGATGATATAGAAAAAAAAACAAAACATGGAACAACATTTTATTGGTGATTGCAGCTGGCAGGCAGCAGCATTTCATAGTGCAAACAAAATGAAGGGCATTTTCCATCCTTTGCGGTGCGTTAAGGCCAAAAGTACTTCGGCCGTCCGCGCACCGTTCTCATTACGTCATTTTTGTCATCAGGAGGGCTCGCGGAGAGCCGTGCACCCCGTCCGCGTGCAGGCAATTTTTTGAGACCGCGCGACGGTCATCAACAGCGCATGCGCGAGGTGAATGTTGAGACAAGAGTAGGTGGTACTGTGCATATGTGTCGAGCTCGTCCGTCCGCGCTCATCCGCGGTTGAGTATACTTTGAAAGTAGTGCGGACGTGGCTTTGCGTGAGATGGAACGGAACGCAGAAAGTGAAGTATACCCGGGCCTTTACGGCTCTGACGCGGCCACTCTAGTCAATGCTTGTGTTTACACCAGCGGAGCCACAGCACGTTTCAGAAGCGTCCCAGAAATGGCTCTCCGCGCCGCTTCGCTAAAGATATGCGCCTTGCCTATTTTTGAAGGTAAGAGTGTGCGCTCGAATATGCTCTAGAATCGCTCTCGCAATACTTTGATGTCATACACCGATCAGTCTGCGCAGCGCTGTTTCAAGTCGAACGCACCTATTGGGTTTGTGGCGTTGTTGTTGTGTGCGCTAGGGAACGTATATCCGCCATACGTCATCACGTCGCTATATCATTTATATCGCGATATGGCACTTCTTTATCATGTAAAAAAATTATACCGGTATTATCGTGGACGGTATGATATGGCACACCCCTAGCACGCAACATATTTCATAGCCTTTATCACAGCTCAGAATACTATGTCGATTAGCATTGCATTATTATATACTTTATTATAATAAAAATTATAATAAGACGAACTCAGATAAACCATATATTGTCGTAGTCGTGTGTTTATTAGTCACGTTGAATCAATGAAAGCAGTTAAATATTCTGTTTATTCAACAACCGCTATAGGCATTTCCTGTGTTTCTTCTGCGAGGCGTATCTGGAGTTTCCGTGTGAGAGCGCCCTCTGGCCTTCGGATGGAGATTTACTACTGATCACAGAACCGTGCTTCACTGAAAGATACGCATGACAATCGCAGCTTCTGCCTAATCTCGATTTATCGCCTTTGCGATTTAATTTCGATTAATCGTGCATCCCTACTTTCTGAGGTTGGAGGTGTAGATTTTTGTGAATGTGTGGCACTGATGGATGTTTGATTGCTCCAGCAGGGCTTCTGCAGCAGCGCGCGGCCGAGCAGGAGCAGAACCGAACCGACTTCCTGAAGCTCAAACAACAGCTGGAGATGGAGTTCAACCAGAAGCGGGCCAAATTTAAGGAACTCTATCTGTCTAAAGAAGGTAATATGTTGTTTAAAATATCTGCCGATGGACCAGTAAGATACAGAAAAAAGTTTTTTGTTTATTTATAATATTTGTTTTTAGATTTGCTTGCTTGTTTGTTTTTAGTTTGTGTTTTTATTTGTTTTTATAGTTTATTTTTTATTTTTTTATTTTATGTTTTTGTTTTTTATTTGTTTATTTATGTATTTTTTTGTTGGATGTATGAAGTTCACAAAGGTGTCCTAGCAGAGGTGTAGTTCATCATCACATGCAGTTTTAAAGGGAAAACAAATTATTTCAGTTCTCATCCTTTCAGTAGACATGGAACACATTCATTGCACATTGTGCCTGGATGCACACATAGATACAGTAGACTGAGCAACAAACAAACAGTTCAGCCGTCATCATAGATCTGTATTTCATAGTGAATCTGTCCTGGGGCAGGATGAAACTACTAAGCCAGATACATTTCAAGACTTTTCTAACAATGTTAGCAGGGATCTGAACACAAGGCTCCGTTTACACTTAATGCAAATGTCTCGGCTGATCTGATCACAAGTGGAACAGTAATTAATATGGGTGCAAACAGATTCCAATTATGTTTGTACCCATGTTTCACTATCACAGCATGTCCTCATTATAACGTTTTATCAACTTGACTAAAGTTGATAAAACGTCATAATGAGGACATGCTGTGATGGTGAAACAGATGCTAGTGGCCTTACAGAACTGCAGCTGTCGGTTCCTCTACATAAACCTTTGTTCTTGTCCTGTAAATATCTCAGAGGAGCTGAAGAGGCAGGCTGCTATACTGGACAAGGCCCAGGCAGAGCTGAGCAGTGTGCAGACGCAGCTGACCGAGGCTAAAACAGAGATGGAGACCATCAAAGCGGTGGCCACCGTCTCTGAGAGCACAAAGCAGGAAGCCATCGACCAGGTCAAGCAACAGTGGCAGGAGGAGGTGGCGTCACTGCAGGCTATTATGAAAGGTAATAAGATACTGATTATTTTCATGCTAAAGTGTCTGATAACCGATACGCCTGAACCGCTTTTTATTTATTGTTCCATTTCTGCTGTTTGGAACGGTAACTAAATCATTCATCACTATCCTGAAGGTGACTGAACTGCTGTGCGACAAGACTAATACTGCTTTGAGTAATAATACAAAGTGAAATACATTTTGCAAGCAGCAAATTAAAGAGAGCACCCTTCAATGCCATCACGCCACTGCGTTTAAGAAGAAACCATGGGTATAAAATAACTTAAAATTTTTAAGTCAATGCTGTTTTTCATATGATCTAGACCAGTGTTTCCCAACCTTTTTTTAGTCGCGGCACCCTTTGGAAATTTTAACAAACTTGTGGCACCCTACAACATTAATTCTGTCACAATATTTGAATTTCTAACTTCGATATGATAATTTGAAAAGTATAGATATTCGGTACAACAGGGAAGAACTGCAGAATATAATGTCATACAGATATTTTTAATATTATTAAAAAATATCCATCAATGGTGGCAATCAGTAGGTTAATTTCTAATGAAGAGACCAATTTATATGACAGATTTTAATGTAGGCTTTTATACATATGTAAACATTATTTAATTACCATTATAACTAGCTATCTCACAAATTTTTGCTCACTCAGTGTTTTTTTTTTATTTTACAGTGGGGTAATTTTGGTGCAGTAGCACAAGATAGCTTATAGTAATAAAATAAGAACAAATAAAGAAATTAATAATGATAGCACAAATAAAAAATAATGACAGGCCTTCGAATTAAATAAATTGCTTTTTAGTTTTTCAGGTAGGTCTAACAGTAGGGTTCAGATATTTAACAAATTTTTTTTTTTTACCAATTATCCAAATAATGTTTAGTCCTAGAAAGCTATTATTATCAGAACACGCGAGCATAACATAGCGGTTAGCAGATCAATGAATGAGAGGGCAGCGTTACCAGAGTTGCCCATTTACCACACCATGTTACAACACAGTAGGGCTATTGCAGACCGAAACAATACTGTACTGCATCGATATTTCCTGTTGGCTCGATTTTTGAGTGGACTTTGCTGTTCCGATGAGCATGAACGGTATACGAGTGGAGCGACTGAGCGGAGCGCACACGCATAGAGCGGGATAATACGCAGAGCGTCACACCACGTGATAGTGAAACCTGAGCGGTGACCTAATTTTCGGCAGCCGAAATTTCGGTGCATCTCTAATTATTGGCGGCATCAGAAATGGCTATTATATAATAGATGCTTTTTAAAAAAAAACATTTTAGCAATTTAAAAATATTAAAAAAGGATTTTTTACACGGCACCCCTGCTCTCAACAGACGGCACCCCGGTTGGGAAACACTGATCTAGACTAGTTCTACATAAGTTTGGGGTCGGTAATTTATTTATTTATTTTTTTAAAGAAAGAAATACTTTTATTCAGCAATACTTTTATTTTATTCTTTATACAAGATTTATATTTCAAATAGATGCTGTTCTTTAGTTTTTTTTGCTATCTCAGTTTTATTTAAATTTTTTGTAATTTTGTCTTTTATTATTAGCTTTTCTTAAAGGGGTCATATGATGCTTTTTAAAAGATCATTATTTTGTGTATTTGGTGTAACAGAATATGTTGACATGCTTTAATGTTAAAAAAACACATTATTTTTCAAATACTGTACATTATTGTAAGTCCTCTATGCCCCGCC